CAAATAATAATGTCAAATCATTTATCGACATCTCAACTAATACTCATTGAAAAGTTGAGATTGATGATCACCAAGGGCCTCTTTGATTGGCCATTTTTCCATGGAAAATCGAAACCATTTTTGTGTAATTGATTGCAAGAAATTTTCATGGAATTTGTTTTCCATGTTTTCTTCACACATGTGCCATTTCCACAATTTTGTGGTGAGAATTGGTTTTCCAACCCTTTTTTCTTTTTTTTTTCTTTTCGTTTTTTTTTGGCAATTGAAACAAATTTTATCTCCAATTGTAACAAATTTTGTCTCTTTAATTGACAATTTTTATGAAAAACAAAGACAAACGAACACTAAAAGATAGAAATTTTCAACATTTTTCAAGTGGAAAATTATACCAATCAAACACATTAATTGACATCCTAGGAAAACAAGTTTTAGACAATTCAATTATTTGCAATTCGTTTTCTCTCCACCTAAATTTCATCCTTGCAATCCAGCATACCCTAACATTAACAAGACACACCGACTTGATTGTATAATATGGAATTATGCTCATAATTTGAGCAGTAATTTTGGAAACTTGGGTTGCAAATACGATACAATCATCTAGTAGATGTATCAAATTTATTAGATACAAATAATATTTAGATGATCAAAATTGAAGATAATGGGGTCCCATTTATCATCCTGATTAATTTTCAGAAATATAAAAAGTTCAATCCCTATTTTAGTTAATGATGTTTAATAATCAATCGCCGATAAAGAAAACAAATGATATATAGGAATTCATTGGATTGAAGAATTTTCTGGTTCTTCATTAAATATCCATTTGAATTTTTAATTTCGCATCATTATTAATCCAGGGACAATCTAATCGATCATGTCAAACAATAAGATCAAGCTGAACTTCTGGTTCATTATAAGGTATAAGTCAATTATTTCCTTTTGAAGAATATGATCAAACATTATTCTCATATAATATTCAATTAAATAGATAAACTAATCAATGTCAACATGACATGAGTTATATGTTTTCCTTCAGAGATAAATATGAATTCAAAATGATATATTTTTCAAATCATGTGCTAGTTTGGAAGTAGAGTGTATTTTGTTATTGTTTCTTCAAAAGCAATATATTTATGTTCGTTTGAAATATTATAATTTTAGTGTCATGCTCTTCATGAGCAATGGCATACTATTATTTAAAATAAAAATTATGTAGAGATTTACTCTTAAGGAGAAAAAAAAATTTGCTTCATTTTTCCGACTTAAAATGAGGATCAACTTGGGCCTCATATGACCCAACACATGATTGGAGAAAGAATAGAAATTGGGCCCAAGTCACACTTTTACTGTTCAATCTTTTTATATCTAATATATTGATACCTAAAAATAAAATTACGAGTACTACAAAATTTAAGGACATAAAATAAGAAATTATACGAGAAATAAACCATAGAAGAAAATTTATATCTTCTTTTAGGATGAACGCAAGTTCTTACAATGTACGTATATGTATGCATCCAATCCAATATTTCAATATTTAATTCTTGTAATCTAAGAAATTAACATGATATTAAAGGCTATTTAATTTTGAAATAAATATGATGATTCTGACTGTTTATCTTAGAATTCTATGGCGGATGTAGACATTCATTGCATTATAATTTTACGACACCCCCTCGGATGCATATTTACAAAGAATAAGCATCTTTAAACTTTATTGACTCGTGCTTGGTGTACATAATTTATATACATAAGGATGTCCACATCCCTCACATGGGATGAGACATGCGTGCACATAATTTATGTACATAGGCACTGACGGATCCAGGTATGGACTTCACCATGTTATAGCCCGTGTCCACCCCTGAAAATACTTTTTTTTTTAAAGATAAATCAATGTATATTTGTATTGTAACCCGTGTCCAAACACAAGATTGGATCCACCACTCTAACATAAAGGTATCCACACATCTTACATGGGATGTGACCTACGCACACCCATCACACGGGGTGAGACCCATGTGAGAAGCGTGGACACTTCTATGTACATAAATTATGTACACCGGAATTTTTCCAATTTTATTAATAAAATTCAGGGCCTGTTTGGGCCCCATTTTTTCATCCAAAAAATTGATTTTTTGACCTTTATTTTACTATTTCAGCCGTCATATTTGACTTCTTTTCTCATAAATGGACCTCACTTTTTTTCTAACGGTTAAAAAATTAATTCTCAAAATCACTCCCAAATAGGCTCTCAACATGAAAAAAATCATCGTTGGAAAAGGTGTACATTATTTTCATCATACGCAGTGTAAAAAGCTGTATCTTTATAAGAAGAGACAAAATCTCAATAAAAGTAAAAAGATTTGCGAATTTTGTTGAATGTACAATAATATATTTTTCCAACAAATTTGTATTAGGGCATATATTTTAGTTCAGTCTTCATATTTAGGGTTTTTCCCAATTTATTACACAAGGCCACTAGCTACTCGATATTTCTCCGAGGCTCACCGACAAACACCCTCTTAGTATTAAACCCTTCGTTATGGCATAAGTGTCTAGACAAATTAAGACCGATCATCATCTAAAATTGTCATGATAGATATATAACGTTGGATAGTGCCTGAGCCATTGAGGAAGTTCCCCGTAAACTAAGCCATTTACAAATTTTACCAATCTTGACTTACAAAGGATTGATTAGAAACAATTTCCAAAGTTTTAGTTGCGAATTAAAAATACATTAAAATTTGAAACCACTGTAAAATTTCGATGACATTAGGCTCTTGTTTGAGCCAAATATTTTTCATTAAAATGTATTTTTAAATAATGATTTGACCATATTTCAATAACATTTTATTTAATAAAATAATATTACACGCAAACCTGAACTTTTTATTTTTATTTTTTTAATCACATGTTTTCTATCATAACATTATTGCAATTTTTTTTATTTTTTTATTTTTTTAAAAAAGGGGCTCGAACAACCCTAAATATTTTATACAATTTTGAGATTATGCCCTGTTTGATGCCCATTACAAATATTTATTTTATTTTTTTTGGGAGAACATGAATTTTGGAATAATAAATTTTTGGATAATGTACAGTTAAAAAGTAGTGAGACGTTTTAAATTTATGTGTATAATATTTTATTATTAGAATGTGTGATTAAAAATAATTTTAAAAAATAAATATTTTTGGATAATGATATACAATTGGTGGCTACACTTTCAGGTTTCAATTTTTAAATCTCAACTTGTGAGCATGAATCATGCACAAAAATTGTTGCCTTTATAACCAACCAGTCAACATAATATCTTAGATAAGATTATGATTCCCATGTCTTGTCCTAAGGGACTAACTGCACTTTCTACACTTTTAGAAAGAAAGTCACAAAATCAATTTTAAGCTTTTATTTATATACTGTTGAATACTACTATTGCACACTCGCCAAAAAAAAAATAATAATAAATAAATAAAATATTTATATTATTAAAATAATTTAGGTTTAGATTCTCTATTTTAAGGCATTGTTTGATGGAAAATGTCACTTGGCCTAGAGGTGGCAATGGGTCGAGCTGGAATATTTTAGGTTTAGATTCTCTATTTTAAGGCATTGTTTGATGGAAAATGTCACTTTGACTCTTTGTCCGAAAATGTTTGATACCCGGGGTGATTGACTCTCACAAAGTGCGCGGGTTCCATGTAAATTAAATAATCCTCGATCCTCGATGTGCGTGTGTTTGATTATTTTCTATGTCAACCGATATGTTCCTCTAACTAGATCCTTGTTTGATCCCCATTTTATGTAAAAAAATAATTTTTTTTAATGGTGATTGTTTGAAAAATGTGTAGATAGAAAATAGAGAAAAATTTTAAAATTACGTATAAATTATTTTATTAGAATAATATGTAAATGAAAATGAATTTTTAAAAAATATAGTTCAAATAAGGACTAAGTGTCCAACCACCACTCCCACACGCTTTTATTCTTTTCACACTTGAAAAGACATTTTGTCATATCTCGTCATCTAACACGAATTTTTTAGGACTAATATATTCACACTATTTTTAATTATACAAAAGCTTTATAACTTTTATTTATTATTACATTTATGTGTAAATAAATTATTTTTTATTATGATTTCTCTTCAAAATTTTCTTTTAGATAAAGTAATAAAAAGACTAATTTGTACATTATATTTTTAAATAAGCAAAACAAATAATAATGCAAAAATACGATTAAATATTTGGCCCTCCATTTTAAAGCGTATTCACAATATTTTCGATGAAAAAAATATAATTAAGGACAAGATTGTTTTATTAATAAAATGTTAAAAATAAAAACGTGATGAAAAAAATTATGAACATAAGTATGATAGTAAATAAATGTTAATGACCTTAATGTAAAAAAAAAATGCAGTATATAACCACCCTTTTATTATTTCTCTTACCGAATTTAGTTCTACTATAGTTACAATTATCTGGGCAGTTTTGTTGACATTGTGTGACATGGCACACTTTTTGTCATTGATTTTAACAATATTTAAAATAATTAGTGATCTCGATTTTGACACATCAAACAATCTCGAGGAAGATGTACATTTTTAATGTACAAATAACTTAATTCTACCCAAATACACCTAAATCTTTCTTTAATTATTGTCAAATACCATTTTAAAAATTGTGGTGTACAGTTGGTTTGGCATCTTTTGAAGAATTTGAGATCTCGTTTGATTCTCATTTTTCTCTAAATGCATTTCTTTCTCTTTTTTTTAATCACATATTTTTCATTAAAATAATATTACACGTAAATAAAATACTTTTTCTTATTTTTTATTCACATATTCTTTATCAATTTACTATTTAAAATTCATTTTTCATTAAAAATGAATGTCAAACCCCCCACTCTAAATAAATATTGTTAAAATTAGTGAAAAAAATTGTCAAAGAATATACGAGGTAAGTGTAGCAATACCGTCCATTTTACCTTTCATTTTTCCTTAAATAACTTGTCATGGCCACCATTGTTCCTCGAAATATCTGGGGCTGAAATTTTCCTTCAAAGTAATTATCACAGTGTCAATTCGGTCAAGTTCAAATTATTACCTAACACTAAAACCCCCACTGCACGAAGCAGGAAAACTCATCCGATCTACCGCCCGGCGAATACTACTGCAGCCAATCAAAGCCTCACACATGGCTGCCCAAATTGGTGATTCTACCGCTGATCGCATTTCTCGGATTTCCTCTTCCATCCGGGTCATACCCGACTTCCCCAAACCCGGTAAAACCTCCTGAAGTGAATTCCATATATAAGAAGAATTCACGTGGAGGAAAATATCATTTTACTATTTGTTTTAATGTTGGGTTATGGGCAGGAATTATGTTTCAGGATATAACGACTTTGCTTCTTGATCCCAAGGCATTTAAGTACACGATCGATTTGTTTGTTGAGAGATACACGGGCCAAAATATTAGTGTTGTTGCAGGTGATTGGTTGTCTTTCTCGATCTATTTTTTTTATTTTTTGTGTTTTTTTTTTTTAAATTGAAAAAAACTGCTCGTGTTACTTGTTAATTTTGTTCTCTTTCCAGGTTCATATTCGTATATTCTGTTGAATGTAGGATATTGAACAATGTGGTGCTGTTTTTAAAGCTTTTACTGTTTCCCATAACTAAAGTTTATTGGATTTTAATTATTTAATATTTTGAAATTGATCATTTAATATTAAGTTGAAAAAGAGGTTTTTACTTCACAGCTATTAGAATTAGATTTTGAAGTGTCATAACTCATAATGTAAGCTGAATGCTTGGTTATAGGAACATTCTACCTTCAACAAATCATAATTGAAAATCAGCAGCTGGACCAGATTTTACGGCCATAATATTTAGAAATTTTGGTTGATGATTATTTGAATAATCTGTGCTGACTAAATTATTTAATATGTAACAAAAGCTTTTTAGGCCAAAATAATCGATGCCAAATGCTAAACTTGGTTGACTAGTTATTCATTAACTTGATTAACATTTATGAATGGAAAAATCAGTTGCAATTTTATAATCTGTGCGATACTGGTTGAAATGGTGCAGGCATCGAGGCTAGAGGTTTCATATTTGGACCTCCAATTGCGTTGGCTATCGGGGCCAAATTTGTTCCCATGAGAAAGCCTAAGAAGTTACCTGGTATAGCTCTCTGTTCCTATCTTTGTTTGTTTTGTCCATTTTTATAGTCACTGTTGTACACACAGTATGTTTTGAATTTTCATGATGTGTTCTTTTGTCAAAAATATACGATGCATGTTCTATCAGCATGAAAAGAGATAAAATTAAATAAATAAATTTGCAAGAACACATGCCCTCATGCCTTGTTTATGCTACATTAGTTTATTTTATTTTATTTTTTAAATCTATTATTAGAAGTTTGACATGCATGATGATCGAAAATCAACTGCACTATATCTTATGACATGTCAGAGGTTTTTCTTTTGTAGCTGAGTAACAATATTTATAAATTTGAATATTATGTTGGCCTTTTTTTCCCCATATTAAAATGACTACAATTATAATCTAACCTTATTCCTGATAAATTTGGAGTCGGCTATATGAATAATTTTTCTCCACTCCATTTTGTATGATCTTACATAAAATAACTAATTATAGCCTTACCCAATTCAAATTTAATATGTGGTTATTAGATGCATTGTTATTAGATCCTGATTGGAAAACTCGTGAATCAGATCCAGATCGATGAATAGTTTCACTTAAACCTGCTGCAGTTTTCAAACTTACAGAATAGTTTAGTTGGTTTGATCCAAGGCCTCTTGAAAATTATGTGCAGCAACCTCCCACTAGACTATAGTCCATACATTGTTTAAATTTGCCACTACTAAAATAAATCAATAAATTAGGCTTCAAGTACTACCTAAATTAACTGCAGTAACAAAGAAAAAAAGTCAAGTTTTTGTTATCCGGTGTAGCATTTTATGTAAAATTTTGATATTTGATTTTTAAGCACAAAGAGGAAATATTTTGGTACTTCTTTATTATCAAATAAATAATAATTACCTTACGATTTTTCTATACAAAGAAAAACGAATTTAATATAAATAAACATTTGAAAACTGAAGATAGCTTGTGTGTTCTAAGTAGTTTATAGGTACAGATTTATGTAAATAGACAAGATTACTTTGTGAATAAAAATAAAAAAGATTTCTTACCTTCTATCGGGACCATTTATTACTATAAATAATATGTTTTAATATCAAAATAGAAATCAATTATATACCCCTTCTTCTGGAGGAAAAAAAAA